CTAGCCCCAGCCTGATATGGAAAGTTCTGTCGATGCGTCCATTTGGGATTTGCTGAGTCAAAGTGTAGGTGAAGGCAAAAGCGGGAAAAAGAATTGTTTTAGCAGTGGTCTTTTCTCCTTCAGCTATTAGAACCAAGGTCATGGGTCCAACCCCCCCATGTTCCCTTCAGCCCTGTGACCCTGTGACCATCCCTCTCCCAGGTGGTCCTGGGAGGCAGCAGCTGGGGTTTTCTCTGCATCTCCAGCCCCTACTATATACTTAGGCCTCATAAGTACCCAATAAATGCTGGTTGAATTGAATTTGATCATTGTAAAGACAGCCAGTTGGAAGTGTGATTAAAACAGTATAAACCCAACACAAGTATATTAAAATACAGTAACTCAAAATCCAAGCCCCAGCACGTGAGGCACTCCCAGATCTGGCTAATCACTGGAATGACCTAAGGAGCATTTTTTAGACCTGAATGGAATCCATCTCCAGGAATTGGGCCTAGGTGTCTGCATTTTAAAGTTCCCCAGGTGAATCTTACAGTCAACCAAGTTTAAGAACTCCAGCTTTATATATTTTTTATCACATTTATTTACAAGGGACAAGATTGTTTTGTCAGGATAGACCCATTGCCCATTCTAATTGATGGTAACAATGAGTCTCATTTATGGGCTAGTAATTGCATCTAAAGGATTTTTTTTGGAAGCAGTGGTTTATGTTCAGTTGGTGGAAGTGTGTGTCGATGTCTGTGAGGAATCCCTCCTGTGAAGGTTTAGATTACTGGTGAGCCATGAAATGGGCATTTTGCACATGGAAGTACCAGGTCTCTTGGTATGCAAAGCTCTGTGAGCCCAACTCCGTGGAGCAGATCTGAGTATTGGATGGAAATACAGTAGCCACTAGGTAAGAGAAACTGACCCACAGGCTGGGGTAACTTTCCATGATGCCCTCCTGGCTTCCATTTTGCCCTAATCTGAAGGGTAAATCACCATCAAATATTCAGTTGAGCCTATCTGAATAAGTTTATACAGTAACAAACTAAATGAAGGCATCAGAGAAATGCAGAAGGTAGAACATTGTGCAGTACAGCCTGGTCATTTCAAAATGGCAACATCGTCAGAGGGAAATTAAAGTGTCATAACTAAAGGATACAGTGTGGGAACCAGGGTTCTTCCTGGTTTGGGGAAGAAAAGAAGCTAAGAAAGATATTTGGGAACCAACTGGAGAAATTTGTGCATGGGCTAGATGCATTATTGTTAGCTTTCCTAGCTGCGATAATAGTATTCTGATGTAGAAGAATGTTCTTATCTCAGGAGGTGCATTTCAAAGCCAGAGTGAGGCATCCCGCAGCCCGTGGCATGTCCAAGCCAAATACTACCAGCTCAGAGCCTGTTGTTAAATACACAAGAGTCTGAGATTCCACAACCCCTGGCAGGGTGAATCAACCATGATGAGAGTGTTCATACCACAAAAATCAGCAAATGCTACAAAATAGGGCTCTTTTCCTCCCCTTAAAAGCTAATTCACTAGCACACCACGGCCCACTGCTTACAGTCAAATGGTTCAGAAAACACGCACATGCAAGTAAATAGAACAGAAATGGCCAGACGTTAACAGTTGTTGAATCTAGGTAGAAGACATGTGGTCATTCATTCTAGGACTCTCTCTATAAAGGTCCACCAGGTCCAATTTCAGGCTTTGCGGGCAGCCCCACGACTCTGCAGCTCTGTCGTTAGAGCAAAGAGCAGCCGTGGACAGTACGGAACTGAGAGGTTACAGTCCAACAAGATTTTGTTTATAAAAATAAGGGCTAGTTTGGCCCGGGGCCATGGTTTGCCAACTTCTGTGCTAGTTTTTCAACTTTTCTATATTTTTAAAATATTTGATAATAAAAAAAATGTTTTTAGTGCAGTTTAGATTTCTTAGCCTGGTTCCCAGAGCCCTCCTGGGTGTCCTGACGCCTACTCCTGCAACATGTGCCGCACCATCTATTTTAATTCCCCACTCACTGCACTCTGGTGTCCTCGGCGCCCTCACTCAAGCTCTTCTCTCTCCCTGTAATTCCCTTGCAACCCCCAGGGTTGCAAAACTACTTGTCAACATTCTCAGGACATGCTTCAAATCCCACTGATTCTGTAAGGATTCTTGAATCTCTACTAATTAAAGCTGATCTCTCGTTTCTCTGATCATCTACAGTCCCACATTTGTTCCCCAGCTTTGCTGCCTTTTGCAGTACACCCTTAATTAGTTCCTGATCCATAAAGCAGAGAAGGATCACTGGACTCTTTGCGGTACATAATTGGTGCTCAATTATATTTGTAAATTGAAATCCAGTCATGCACATATCCATATGCCCACAGGTACCAACCTTGAAATCTAGCAGAGAAAATGTGTAATTTAGATTTGAGGGCATTAAAGATCATGGAAATTGGTGGCATGCTCTTCCTTCTTTCCTTCTTCCTTCCTTTCTTATATTTAAGACTCTTCTCATTCAACTCCTGCCACCTTTGAGGTTGTGCATCAGCTGAAATAGATGTGATCTTCTTGGATGGGTGACTTTCTTGGCAATAGCTAAGGGCTGGAGGAGGAAGAAGAATTAAGTCATTCTGAATATCTATAGTCTTTTAAACACTGTCAAGTACTCACTGGTGTCTCATGTAGTCCCCCCAACAGTTTACAAGATTGATATTATTCCCTTTTAGAACTCAGACCACTAATATGGCCTCCCTGAGATTATAAAGCTAGAATGGAAGTTTGAATCTTGTTACTTCTGATACCCAGCATCATTTTAGTGCATTCGTGCATTCAATGATTGGCATGAGACTGGGCTGAAATTGTCCCAAAGCGTGGAAATATCTGTGGAGTGCTGAGAGTCTGGTGAAGTACAGTATTAAGCACCACTGGATTGCGTATCAGAAAACCTGGCTTCTGATCAGGGCTTTGCCACCATCCATCTGTGATGTTGGGTGAGCGGCTGAGCTTCCCTGGACTCTGCTCTCTCATCTGCATAATTAGAGGAATAAAGCAGGTTATTCCTTTTATTCCTTTCCATTTTGTGCATTATGCAGTAGTTTTTTTTTTCTTTTTTAAAATTAAGGTATTAATATACACTCTTGTGAATGTTTCACATGAAAAACAATGTGGTTACTACATTCACCCGTTACCAAGTCCCTCCCATACCCCATTGCAGTTACTGTCCATCAGTGTAGTAAGATGCCACAGAGCCACTACTGGCCTTCTCTGAGCTACACTGTCTTCCCCGTGACCCCCCACACCATGTGTACTAAACATAACACCCCTCAGTCCCCTTCCCCCACCCCTCCCCTTTGGCACCCACTGGTCCCTTCCTGGAGTCTGTGAGTCGGCTGCTGTTTTGCTCCTTCGGTTTTTATGCAGTAGTTTATAAAGTCTAATGAAGAGAGGTTCGTAAACAGACTTGAAGTACAACAGTGTGTAGTGATGCTGTGCCCCAGAAATGCACAGGGCACTCCGGGAGCTCTGCAAGGAAGGGCGTCTGGCCTCTCAGGGTGTCATCCTGGGCTGAGTGCATTCCACCCACGTGGAATTTGGGGAGCTTCATGGTGGTGTGGAGACAGTCTCAGGAGAGAGAGAGCTGCAAGTTGTCTCCCCAAAAAATGATGAACAGGGCAAAGGGAGAAAACAGTCCGGACAGGAGCTGGATGGCGAAAGGACCGCCCTGCCTTCTGAAGGAGGCCGGGCTTCCTTCTTAGGGCTGTTTGGAAGGCAGTGAAGGATTTAAGCAAGATCGTATTTGCATTTGATAGAGAATGCCCCCTGGCAGTGGGGCAGATGAAGTCCAGGGGCCAAGGACTGGTGGTGGGCAGACTCTTCAGGGGTGACTGCCAGGGAACAGCCCAGGCTGGGATGGAAGCAGCTGGAGCAGCATAGTGGCAACGAGAATGAGGAGCCGAGGACAGATGGGAGGGCTCGAGAGGAGATGAAATGGCTGGGACTCAGTGGCTGTCTCAGCCGAGATGGCTGCAGACGACCTCACAATCTCGGTGGCTTCCAATACGTGTGTCCTGCCCAGGCTGCATGTCTGACTGAAGAGGCACTATGTGCCCATCGTGGCCACCCAGGGCTGCGGCCTGGGGAGCCTCCCTGAGGTGGCCTGGGTGATATGCCAGAGCGAAGGCTCAGGGGGACTCACATGGGCAGTTCCACGATGCAGCCGGAAGTGACACGCATCTTTCCCAGCCCACGGACTAGAACTTGTCACCTGGCCCAACCTGGGGGGCCGGGGGCAAAAATTCAGTCCTGGGCGACCAACAGTGAAACTGCCTGGTGCCCGACTCGCTCGGAGGGGATGGAGGGGGCCTCCCAGGCTTCTGGTTTAGGGAGGGAGCCGGAGAGAGGGAAGATGGAATCAGGGCAGGGGGCGCGGACGGGGCAAAGCGCTCTAGGTACTTTCCAGCTCTGAAGTGTAGCTGTTCTGTTGTCCTTCCTTTCCCACCACTGGACGGAGGGAAACCAACTCCATTTGTTGGCTAGAGTTTCCTTTACTTTTTACTAAAGGTGTTTTAGTTCATCCTTGCCAAACAAAGCTTTTTAGTTTTAAAAACGTAGCACTCGGATCTAATACTCTGTCTTCCTTGAATTTTTCACGTGGACTATTGTGTCAACATAGGCTAAAAAAATGGTTCTTAACTAGGCCGTTAATGAAGCCTTGCTCAGCCTGCTGAATTTCAAATGCCAGAGATGTAACTGCCCTCGAGGCCTTCGTTGCTGCCATCCCCAGCAGGGCACATGTCAAGGCTTCAAGGGGTGGGAGTCGGGGAGGGGGTGTGATTAGGCAGGTCGGAGACCCCTTGCATGCAGCCTGAGGGGGCTGTCAGCGTCTCAGACTCGCTGGGGACTGGAGTGAGTGTCCACAGAATGGCAGAAACGATGAATCTGTACTGTTTCTCCCCTTCTTTGTTTCCCACCTCCCCTCCCCGATTTAATTGTGGTACCTTAAAAACTGACTTATTGTGCGTTTGTTTCTTAACAGTTGAGAGAAACAATCAAAGCTGGCAAAGGTGTGACTTCAGCTATTGACCTGTGTCGTCACCATGGAAACAAGGCCCTGGCGGCCCTGGAGAGCTTTCCTCCCTCCGAGGCCAGATCCGCTTTACAAAACATGGTGTTTGCTGTGACCAGATTTTCGTGACACCAAATTAAAAAGACATTGCTGTTCGGGAGCTGTAAAAACTGGGAACAAGGTGATCGGGAGGGCTTTCGCGATGAAATGCCTGAATGTGTTAATGACTTTAAAAACATATACTATTTTTTCCTTCCTTTTATCACATTGCTAAATGAGTACTGCCTCCTTTTTGGAACTGCTGCAAACAAAATCAGAAGGGAAAAGGTCAAGCAGCATTCGCTTGTCATGCCAGGAGCGCTCCGGAGGCCGCAGGGGCAGAAATAATTCATGAGATTCGCTCCTGTGACCTCAGCAAATGGACAGGAAATAAGTCCTTATTGATTGAACTGCACCAGTGATGGCTCCAGGGCGGCGGCCTGTGGTTTTCCTTCCAGAGAGGACAGAGCAGCCTGGAAGCTCGGGGTGTCAGGAGAGGCACTACCGGTGCCGGCCAGGGGGACTGTCAGATCCAAGACTTGTGACCAGTTTCTCATCACGGAGTAGTTCAGTGATTAAGAAAAATGCGCCTCGTCTCCTTGCCATGTCTGCGTGTTTGTAGATACGGTATGAATATACTTGGCACTTCCTGGTTTTCATAAGATTGGGGGGGAGAAAAAATACTGAAAAAAATAATGCCAAATATTGGAAGCAGGAATTAAAAGTTATCAAATGTGAACTTGGTTGTAGTAGGAAAAGCCTGTTTTCCTTTCTTAAAGACCAATTTTTTGTCAAACACATTTCAAAGAACCAAAATTTTTTTTTTTAAGCTAAGCAGGGTGCTTTTTCCAAAGAAAATGTGTTCGTCTGTATTACTTTGGTGTAGCAACTATCTTTAATTTTTACAAGTGTCAGCTACATAATTGTACTGGAGAATTCATTGGTGGTACATATTTAACCTCAGGAAGTCAGATTTTGGTCTTGAACCACAGACATCCAGTTGCAGAAAGCATGTAAGCCATCTCACAGGCCTGCGATCAGACCCGGGCTCCGTGTGGTTCATAGGAGATGGTTTTCGCGGTTTGCAGGCTTGCAACACGAGAATCCCGTTGACAAGAAGGTTGAGTTTACATAAATGATCTAGGTGGAGACGCAGCCACCTTTCTTCCTTGTGTGGTGTAATTACAGCCCTATCTGGAGACAGCGAGCCCGGCAAACAGATTTTATTACCTCATTCACTCAAACACTGAGTGAAGTTATTTTAGTTAAATTCCTCCCCCGCAAAAGTTACAAAACCTTTTTATCAGGACCCAGCATGTGGCAGGCAATGAAGAGGAAATGTCAGCTGCAGAGGTTAAGGTATTGTGTTAGGAAAGATTTGATATACTTGTAATATTATAAGTGTATAGTTTGTGCTGCTACAATTTGAAGAAGGTCTAAGGATTTAGTTTAAGAGAACACGCCACTCTTCTGTTTGAAATGCCTTTTCTCACAGACATTGGCTTAATTAGTAACTAGGGCTCGATGCTTTAGATCAGACTAGGTTTCAATCATTAACCTCCACGAAGGAGGAGCCCTGCTTTGTTCTCTGGGCGTGCGGGGGCTTAGGCGGGCTGGGGGTGTACTTCAGGGCGCAAGGCAGGAGCCCAGGGCTCTGGGAATTCCGGGTTGGCGGCTGGCTTGCTGTGTGATCTTGAGCAAGTCACTTCTCCCTGAGCCTGAATTTCCATCTGCAAAATAAGGCTGAACGGGAGAATGTATGAAAGCCCTTCCAGATTTGTTTTACTTTCTAAAATTTGCCATTTCTGACCATCTACGTGAGATTAAGGGAAGAGGGTAGCACCTGGAGAGGCCTTAGACCCGCGGTATTCCTAGCTCTCCTTTGTATAGCATGTGGTTCTGGAATCTTATGTTTCAAGAAAGGCTGTCTGCTTCCCTGGGGGCCTTGCTCCTTCCCTTCCACCTTTCACCGCCTTCACGTCCTCCATCCTTCCCACGGTGCCGCCCTGACGGTGGACTGACTGTGCGCCTCGCCCGCCCCTCTGCTGGGGTCTTACTCCAGCAGAGGGGTTCTCGCTACCTCGGCCATCTTATGTTTCAAGAAAGGCTGTCTGCTTCCCTGGGGGCCTTGCTCCTTCCCTTCCACCTTTCACCGCCTTCACGTCCTCCATCCTTCCCACGGTGCCGCCCTGACGGTGGACTGACTGTGCGCCTCGCCCGCCCCTCTGCTGGGGTCTTACTCCAGCAGAGGGGTTCTCGCTACCTCGGCCCGGAAAGCTTCTGTTAAGCCTCGCCCATTGGCTGATTCGCTCTGAGGTGTTAAATGCAGATAGTCTCCGTGCCCCTCCCTCAGGGCCCTGCTGCGATGCTGGGGGCCGAACCCGGCCCCCCCCCCACACACGCGCAGACCTCCAGCAGCGTTTCCCGTTGCCCAGTGCAGCTTCGGACAACACGCCCTCCATCAGTGACCCGCCTCTGTTCGTCCCCTCTTCTCTGACCATCCTGTGGTCGGAGTATCCGGGCTGACACATCTCTTAGTCCCACCCCCAGGGATGTTGTCTAAACATTTAAACTGTATTTCCCCAGAAACTACAAAGCAGTTTCCTGCCCCACTAAATCTGCTTTAAAAAAAAACTGTTTTCTGGCATTAAAAAAACAACATCAATTAGACATAGGCAGGGCGCTATCGGCCATTGACAATTGCCCTGAAAGAGAATAAGGATTGTGGCTCTCCTGGAACTTGGTTGCAGATTGTCCTTGAGGATAAGACTAAATCCTTTTCCTGCGTTCTTGTCATATAATGTGGTTATCCAGCCACACCTAAGACTGAGTTCCCGGTGGCGCTGTCTGCCCGTCCGGGTCTCCCTCTCCAGCCCTTGAGACTTTCCCTTACCCCACAGCACTATTGCTACTGCCCAGAAGGTGGCTGACCTGCAAATGGGGTCAGAGACACGTGTAGGGTAGTGCAACGTGCTCCGCAAAAACAGACCGATTGAGGCCCAGTAGCTACAACACCCACAACTCAGGTCACCAGGAAGTAACCTGGGGAATCGTGATGCTCTCCTTCCAAAACCAGACGGATGGCCACAGCGGGTGCCGGTGGGCAGGTAGGTTTGGGAGAGCTGTGCTTCACCACCAGAACTGCAGCTACCTGGTTCCTATTCCTCTTTCTTAGACCATCTAATCAGCAGTTTCATTCCTGATAAGGAGAACCTGGCTTTTCAGAAAACCCTTTTCAAGCTCCTCCCTGGAGTTCTCAGTTTCAGGAGGAGCCCTTCCTGCCTCTTCATTTGTCTTCCTACTTTGAAGTCCTATTTTGAAGATCGCCTTTTTACCAATAGAAGCTCTAGGCCTTATCTTTAGAATCCGCAATGACTGCCTCTCAATCTAGAAAAGATGAGCCACACCTTTACTAAAACCCACCAGGGCAGAAATAGATGGGATTGGCTTTTGAAGCCGTGTAAGTGTGAGGACAACGTTGTTATTCCATTAGTCGTAACAACAGTTTCCGTTATTGTTCATCGTGTTTAGTAAGAATAAAGTTATTTGCACTTTCTTTTGAAAACAAAGCAATCAATATAACAAGATAATCATTTCCCTCTTTCTCTTTTTCTACGTTGGGTCCTGATTCCCTCTCAACTTAACCTTTTAGAGTGGGCCCTGCCTCCCCGTAAGGGAGATCAGGTACTTGTAGAGTGACTGAAGTAAAAGGGCACGTGGGAGACCCCAGGAGGACCACCCCTGAGAGGGGGAGCGCGTCCCCTCCCCGCACCCCACCTCCTGGTGGAGCGAAGTTCTGCCTTGATGTGTATTTATTTCTTTTCTTTAGAAAAGGCTTTTATGCTCTCTTTCTGGAGACAGTGACTCGTCTTCATGGAAAAGCTGCAGGGCTTTCTCCCAGCCTGTTCTGCGCACTCCCCAGACGGCGTGCTCCTCGCTGTGGGTCCCACGTGCCTTGGCTTAAATTTAACTTTTTGAACACATTTAAGTAAATAACCACCTTAAAGAAATCTTGGAAAACAAAAAAAAAAATGGATCCTCCACAACTTCCCTGTGCCAGCATAATCGGTATCACCATTTCATTGTCTCTCTCCCGGCGTTTTTTTCCACGCGTATCTTTTTTTTGCATGGTTGTAATTATCATAGAAATTTGACTTCGGGCTCTGCTGTCTCCATCTGACCCAACGTGGACATTTCCCTGTGCTGCTGCCGTCTTCATAACCCTGTTACTAAGTAGCTTACGTTCTCAGCAAGGTATCTGAATTCCTATTCCCGACTGGTTTCTGTGGTGCCAGGATGGTACAGAAAACACTTCCTAAGTCAGCCTCTCAGCCTGCAACCAAGAAAGTCTTTGACTTGGTAAAAATGCCCCTGGAGATTCTCCACAACTGCAGGTGAAAGATGTGGAACAAATTCCCTTAAAATTCTTCAACTTAAATGGTTCACCTTTTCAGCTGGTGGTCCCCATTCCTGCACGGTGGCGCTCAAGATGGACTCCCACCTCTGCATGTTTCCCTCTTGCGCCACTGCAGGTGCTCAGGCAGCCACACGTCACTAGGCTGACTTCTGCCCACTGAAGGTCACAGGCTCCTCGGTCGGGAGGGAAGGCGCCTCGGCCAGTTGTCGTGGTTTCTGCTATGGGCCAACATCACGGAGAGAGCATTTTGTAAGAGATGAGCAGCCGCCTTGGCTCCTTCGGAGTGGGGACTCCCTCGCCCCTTCGGAGTGGGGACTCCCTGGCCCTCCCTAGGCCCCTGGAAGCAAGAATGGATGTCCCGCCAGGAGGCGCCCTCCCTGTGCCCGAGGGAGCGGGATGCGGGGCCGCTGCACCAATTCACACCCTGGCCCCAACCCCTCTGTCTTGTCAGTTCTTCACAAATGTTATTTGTTCTTTTTCTAGAAGGTCTAAAAGCTGCCTGCTTTTGGTCACGTCTTTGAGTCTCTTGTTTTTATGGGCTCCTGTACATGAGAAATTAAATTTGTTTTTCTACTGTTAATCTGTCTTATGTCAATTTAGTTATTAGGCCAAACAACCTAGAAGGGAAAAAGGGAAACAAAATAACCCACATCTGAGCAAATCTCTCAGAGCACTGTGAGCTTATTATGTGTGCTGTCATCTTGCTTTGCTTGGGTCTTTTTTTTTTAAGCCCTCCAATGAACTAGAAAACATCATCCTCTACGAATTAAACTACATTTGAACTCTCCTTCCTTAAATTAATCATTGTAACTACTGTTTTCATTACTTCGCCCTTTCTAGGCATTTGAACGATGCCTCCAGCTATCATGAGTTGCAAGGTAACTTAAACTTACTTGTTCATGCAGAATATGATCAGTTTATTGTGACCTTCCTAATTGCTCCTTATTTACGCAGTTCTGTAACAGGCTTCTCTTTCCTTTTCTCCTTCTTTTTTTGAAGATCAGTACTGTTTTAAGTGCGTTCTTTTTTAAGAGCAGCTTTATTGAGGTATAATTTACATACCCTAAAGTTCACCTAGTTTAAGTATACAACCCTATGATTAGTAAATTTGCAAAATTGTGCAAATATCGCTACAATTCGGTTTTAGAGGTCCCTTGTGTCCATTTGCAATCACCCCTACTCCTACACTCAACCCTAGGCAGCCACTAATCTACTCTCTATATATATATACATTTGCCTTCTCTAGACATTTTATATAAATGGGATTATGCAGTACTTAGATTTTTGCATCTGGCTTGTATCAGTAAGTAGGTTTCTGAGATTCATCCACATTGTATCCTTAATCCTTTGTATTACTAAACAGTATCCCATTGTAGGGATAGACCACCTTAGGTTATCCATTTACCAGGTGATTGGCATTTGGGTTTTGCAACTTTTTATATATTATGAATAATGCTGCTATGAACATCCCGGTACCAGTCTGTGTGTGGGCTTAAGTTTTCATTTTTGTTGAGTAGATCCCCAGGAGTAAAACTTAAGAGTAAGTTTGTTTTTTATACGAAATGTAACTTTTTAGAAGGTGACAAACTGTTCTCCAAAGTAGCTATATCATTTTATGTTTCCACCAGCAACATATGTGGTTCCAGTTTCTTCACATCCTTGCTAACCCTTGGTATTCTCTTTTTTATTACAGCTATTCTAGTTGGAATGAGATGGTATCTCACTGTGATTTTTATTTGCATTTCTTTAATGAGTAATGATGTTAAGCATCTTGAGTATATCAGCCACTTATATGTCTTCTTTGCTGAAATGTCTGTTCAGATCTTTTGTCTATGTTTTAACTGGGTTGTTTTTCTTATTATTGAGTTGTAAGCATTCTTTATATATTATGGATACAAGTCCTTATCAGATATATGATGTGCAAATATTTGCTCCCAGTCTATGGCTTAACCTCATTTTCATAATGATGTCTTTTGAAGTGTAGAATCTTTAATTTTGATGAAGTCCTATTCATCTATTTTTTTCTCTTATAGATCATGTTTTTGGTGTCATATCTAAGGAATCTTTGCCTAACCCAAAGTCTCAAAACATTACCCACAGAGTTCTCTTCTCCCATGTTTGAGCCTCTTGTCCATTCTGATAGTCAGCAGCCTGGCAGGTGCTATGGGAAGCCATAGAATGAACACACACATTGTCTAAACATATTTTTCCCCACAAAGTGAAATTAGGTAACTTAATTACAAATTATTTTTTAAACTTCTATAGCATACCAAATATATTTTAGGAAATTGAATGTAAGATTTGCATCTACTTTATATAAAAATGTAAGACCAATATAAATGTAAAGTTTGTATTTGGGGGCTTTGAGCTAAGCACATTCCTCGGTTCGTTGAAGCAGGCTCTTACCCTTGAGCCTCCCTCGCAGCCCGCCCAGATGTTTGCTCCTCATCACAGCCCCTTTCCCTCTAGAACCTCAGAATCCTCCTCAACACAGCACTCCAGGAAGTCACTGTTTAATGTATCAGAGCCAGCACACAAGTTGAAATCTATTTGCACTTCTGTTCAACCAGCTAATAACTATTTGCTTTAACTTGCATTTTACTATTTGGGGGCATTTGGAATAAAATCGATAGCCCTGAAAACCA